TTTATATTAATTACATTTTATTCACTTTGTATCCCAGCCATAGCCCTCCCTCTCCCCTCCTAATCCCACCCTCTCTCCCTCTTCTTCTCCTATGCCCTCCCCCAGTCCAATGATAGGGGAGGTCTTCCTTCCCTTTCATCTGACCCTAGTCTATCAGGTCTCATCAGGACTGGCTTCATTGTCTTTCTCTATGGACTGGTAAGGATGCTCCAAATATGTTACACAGAGGAATAATAGGTGCAATGAGGGGAAATATAGAAAAAATAAAGAAAAACTTTATTTGTGGAGAGAGGAGGGACAAATAACACCAATATGTTTGAAAAAGCTATAGGGAAAACTATATTTACTTAAAATTCATATGTAATATGTAATTCATAACATACATATTATTTAAATGAAATTATACTACCTGCAATAATAATGTTCTCCCAAGAGCCATAGATCATCTAACAAACCCCAAGTGCTAGGCATGCTAGGAAACTTCCCTTCAAGTCCTTGGTCAACATAGTCCAAGAAACTCCACGAAGCAATAGAGCTTATTGCCATTGCCCTTGGTTTCCCACCAGAATGTGAAAGTAAAACCCTGCTGCTGGAAACACACACATTACAAACACAGAAATCAAAGTAGATATGATAGAGAAGCCTTCAGCCTGAAGAATGACTCTCACAGTATCAGAGGGCGACATGCAATCTTCTAAGGAAGAGTAACAATCAATATCCCTACACAACTGCCAAGCCTGGATGCCACAATAAAGGCCAGCATGGCAAGATATCCTCCAGGGTTCAAGAGAGGTACATCTTGGGGGTAAACTACAACCACATTGCAAACCTACCCAACTACCCATGGTTGATAAAAGAACTCTAAAGGACTCTAAAAGAAAACCTACTACAGCTACTTACCCTGTAAATTTACCTGTAAATTTTCTTACTGCATTCTAAAGACCCATCCTTCTATCCACAGATAAATGTAGCTCTCACCTTCTCATAAGAGAAGGCTGAAGGCTGTTCATTTTTTAGTAGATGATTAAGATATAGAGAACTCACAGACCATGGGGATCCAACCCCAATCAATATATCTAAAATGCGACATCTGTACTCAAGGATCAGAGAATGTTGTAGGAGATGTGGCTGAGAGACTGTAAGGTTCAGAAGACCAGGATATCTCCTGCAAGACTGTGGTATATGTGTGTGTGTGTGTGTGTGTGTGTGTGTGTGTGTGTGTGTGTGTGTAAAACAATGAAGCTACTATAGCCATAAAATCTCAGCAATACAGTTGACTTAAGAAGACCCCTACACTTATAGCAGCAACTGGTAACCCAATATAGATGGAGAATTCTCACATGGCTCCATCCTCAGCAGAAAAGCAACAAGCAGTCAGTGATTGCTGAGAGGATGAGAATCTTTCTTCTCCAGAGATGAGCCCTCCAAAGGTTATCCAATGTCAAGTCATTAGCCTTAAACATAAAAATGTATGAGTAACACTGAATGGACTCAACAAGGTGAGGAGCATGGGGGGGGGGCGCAGGACATAGGAGGAATTGAAGTAGGGAGATGGCGGGATAGGAATACTGTCAATACAATACTTAGATATGAAATTCTAAATAAATTAAGTTGAATTGAAAATTAATTAAAATTTAAAATTCTCTACATCAATCAGCGTGACTGTGCCCTAAAGCAAGAAGTAACTATTGAAAAGTTCCAGACAAGTGGCAGTGCTCAGAGTAGCCTTTCTGAAAGTTGGCCACTTGCTTGAGCTTGTTAAGTGAAAACAGACGGATAAAGCAACGTTAGGAGAACAATTAGAGGATGCATTGATGTCATAAGAAAAGTCAAGTCTTGGTAAGAAAGATGATGAAGTGCTTGGTTAGCATCTTCTACTACCAGCAGACCTGAGTCACAGTGGACAATCATCCCTGACAGGTAGGTTAGTCCATCTGTTCCTAACTAACTTCAGTCCCACAGCAACAGTTCTTTGTCCTCCATTTTATGAAAGAAAGAAAACTGGGGCTCAGAAAGGCTATTAACTCACCGCCAATCTCAGAGGCAAAAACTGACAGAGCTGAAATTTAGAGATAAATCTCAAATGTTAAAACAGATAGCTTTTAATGGCCAGCTCTTTTGTTTTGATTGGTTGGTTTTGTTTTGTCTCATTTGTTTATTTGCTTCTTGTTTTTTTTTTTTTTTTTTGAGACAGGGTTTCTCTATGTAGCCTCGGCTGTCTGTCCTGGTCTCTCTTTGTAGGCCAGGCTGGCCTCGAACTCGCAGAGATTCCCCCTGCCTCTGCTCCCTGAGTGCTGGGATTACAGGCATGTACCACTGCACCCAGATTAATGGCCAAGTCATAACTGCTAACAGCTTTTAATGTCCAATTCTTTTTTTTTTCCAAGGAGATTTTATTTTATTTTTTCCTTTTTTCCTTTATTTTTATTAATTATAGTTTATTCAGTTTTTATCCCAGCTGTAGCCCCCCTCTCCCTTCCCTCCCAAACCCACTCTCCCTCCCTCTTCTTCTCCCATGCCCCTCCCCCAGTCCACTGATAGGGGAGGTTCTCCTCTCCTTCCATCTGACCCTGGTCTATCAGGTCTCATCAGGACTGGCTTCATTGTCTTCCTCTGTGGACTAGTAAGGCTGCACCCCCCTCAGATGGAGGTGATCAAAGAGCCAGCCCATGAGTGCATGTCAGAGACAGTCCCTGTTCCTAATACTGGGGAACCCCCTTGGGCACTGAGCTGCCATGGGCTACATCTGAGCAGGGGTTCTAGGTTATCTCCATGAATGGTCCCTGTTTGGAGTATCAGTCTCACAAAAGACCCCTGGGCCCAGATTTTTTGGTTCTGTTGCTCTCCTTATGGAGCTCCTGTCCTCTCCAGGTCTTTCTCTCTCCCCCTTTTTTTCATAAGATTCCCTGCACTGTGCCCAAAGTTTGGCTATGAGTCTCAGCATATGTTTTGTTACCCTGCTGGTTAGAGTTTTTCAGAGTCCCTCTGTGATAGGCTCCTGTCCTGTTTCTTGTTTTCTCCCTCTTCCTTTATCCGTCCATTTTTGAATGAAGATTGGATTTGATTGAATGAAGATTGAATGAAGACTGACTTTTTGAATGAAGATTGAGCATATTACCCAGGGTCCCTCTTCTTGATTAGCTTCCTTAGGTGTACAGATTTTAGTATGATTATCTTATATTATATGTCTAATATCTACTTATAAGTGAGTACATACCATGTGTCCTTTTGCTTCTGGGATACCTCACTCAGGATATCTTTTCTAGTTCCCACTATTTGTCAGCAAATTCATGATTTCCTTGTTTTTAATTGCTGAGTAGTAATGTCCAATTCTTAACTGCTTCACTAAGTCCTGAGCCTACTTGAGGAAATGCTTATGAGGGAAGATGAGCTTAAATCTGGAAATCAGAAGCCAGCCCTTTCCCCATAGAATACCTTTATTTTAGCATTTGTCTTAGGGCTGGCCAGAGTCTGCAATCTACAGCAAAAAGATGAATTTTCTTCTATTTTAATTCCATGCATGGCTCATTTTCTTCCCCTGCTTTTTCCAAATCTCACTGACTCCCAGCTTCCCTTTATTCCTAGCCTTGCTTTTTCCCAAGATTCTGTATTATGTCTAGTCTCACGGATCATTATAACAATCATCAGATATAAGTTACACTCTAGGATTTCACTGTGTTTTCTGCTCTCTCACATTTTATTTTCTGGAATTTCATATAGTATATACTGTCTTTAATATGTGTTTCACATGTGGACATCCAATTATAAACAAGCTAAGACACACAAATTTCTAATTATGACACATGGTGGCTCTTACAGTTGGCCACTGGTTCAGTTATGCACCTCTCTTTATAGCTATGCAGTGGAGTTTCATTTTACAGTCACAGAATCTAGGCAATTCAACATTGTGTTCTTGTCAGAAAACAAAGAGTGATTTTAACAGTGGAGGCTGTCACACCTGCCATTGCAATCAATGCCTTCATGAGACAGGAAGTGAATCTGCTGTTGTCACAGCAGGTTTCGGTTCTTAAGGACCCGCCCTAGATGAGTAATTTTCCAAGAAACCATCATTTTACTGTTTAAAAGCAAATATTTTGGCTCTATAGCATACTCTAACTTTGGTTGACTGTTTTTCCAAGTCCTCAGTTTAAGAGATGCGTCTCTCCCAAGGCAGGGGAATTAGGTCTGTGGATGGTTGGAGAGAGAGTGAGATGCTATCCCTGACAGTATAAGCTCATGATGTTTTCATCTTACATTTCCTTCTGGGTTTTAGTCCCTAAGCCACATATGCTCTCAGTTATCAGACTTTTAAAGTATTTCCTTTCATCAGTTATTCCCTGAGAATGATGAGAAATTAGACAGTGGAGAGGGCTGATAAACATACATCCCAACAAATGAGGCAAAGGTCAGAACCATCAGCCATCCTACAGTATGAAAACAAACACGCACAATTTACATTAGGGATGAAATGAGAAACTGGAATTTTAAAAAAAAGCAATTATTGGAGGTTTTATTATCGACTTCATAACTTTCTAGGAAAAAAACCCCACTATCACATGAACTTAGCTAGACCTTATTAGATGGCCATATTTAAGGAGAAGGTTATGTCTGAGCACAGAGTGATATCATTCTGAACTGGCGCATAACCTCCTGAGCAGATGCACTAATTCTCGCCACCTGGATCCTTTGACCTTTTTGTTTCTGCCATCGGTATAAAACAGGAAATGAACTGGCTGAGGATACCTATCTGCACAGTAAACTCTACACAAGCAATTACTGGACAGTGCCAACCTTTGGGTCTTCAGTATCTCTGAGAGCACTTGGCTGAGAAGGATCCTTCCACAAGGACTGCCCTGGTACACGAATCACTGAGTTCCCAACATCTGTCTGTCTGGAACTAATTTTGTGTGGTCATTTAGGAAGGAAAGAAAGACACTGGGTAATATTTACTGGGTCGCTGGTGTCAAATGCACCCGCTCTGCAGATCACTCTGCTCTTACCTATCCAGTGAAATGCAGCACAGGTGAAAAATTGATGCTGTGGTAAGCAGGACATCCAGAGAGGTCCGGACCAGGCAGAACATCTCCCCGTAAATCCAGATGTCTTGGACCAGCTCAATGGCACCAAAGGGCATCACCAGCACCGAAACCAGCAAATCGGCAAAGGCAAGAGACACAATGAAATAATTGGTTTTTATTTTCCTGTGAGTGAAAAGGTATAAGCAAGGTGGCAGGAGAAGGATGTGGGAAAGAAGGTGGGAAGAAAGAGTGAGGGAAGAATTGCGGAGAGTGGAAGGAAGGTAAGAAGGGAGGTAGAAAAGGAAAGAAAAGTCACGCATTAAACATAATCCGCGAGATTCCATTTTCCCTTCCGCACCATGAATGAGGAGATTCTCTGTGCTCCTGCTTTTTCTGTCCTTTCCAGACCCAAGTCATGCCCAAAGCCCTCTCTCCTTCTCTCTTCCGGCCCTTCTGGCCTGACCAGAGGCCACTGGTGTTTTGAGAACCATTTACACACTTGCACTCTCTCCCACCTAGTTTCCTAGCCCCTTCACACCAAGCCTTTGGTCCTGGATTAGGCACTTCAGTGAGGTATCCCAAGATGCTGCCCTCACGGACAGTGTCAAGCTGTACCATTTTCAGCTGTTGGGTGACCTCTGGTGTACCCCTTAGGTGTGACCCCATGTACGACTCTGCATTGTGCTTTCTCTGCTCTCAGAGAAATGTCTTGCTTAGGGAGGGGATACCTCTACCTCATCTTCTCTTTCATGGCCAATGCTACTTCGTCCAAGCTATGCACTAGAAATTCCTGGTGAACTTTAGCAAACCTCAGTGGCCGGGGTTCAACTCAGATCAATTAGACAAAAACGTCGGGTGAATAATATCCTTTTTTACTAAATATTGCTACATAAGATACATGATGGCTAAGTAAAATTTGATTTTTTAACAATTGATACTTTTAAAATATAAATATCTTTACAAATAAACACCAATACAGTAGTATTTTGAAAAGCATTTCAGGTGATTGTACTTATAGCCACAGTTGAGGCTGGTGATGTACAAAATATGGTAGATCTGGTCTTTATTCCCTAAAACAATCTTTAGTTATCCTCTCATTCCCTGAACCATTGATAGCAGGAGGAAATATATATCTATTCTAATGTATGTATATACATTACATGTGTGTGTGTGTGTGTGTGTGTGTGTGTGTGTGTGTGTGTGTGTATTCCAAACAGGATGGAAGTACCCTAGGGAGCTCTTATGGCTAAGTTAGTGCTGGGGTTGTAGGATTATGTGTGCTCTTTTTTCTATTTTTCAAAATATGTCCCCACCTAGGTTTTCCATTATCACAATAAATTAGGATGGAAATTATTCAGATCCATCTTTACACAGAGATCCCTCTGACACCCATGTTTCCTAAGAGGTCCCTTTGTACTGCTCACCTGAGCTGCCTGTCCCTGCACACAGCCACCATCACCAGCAGGTTGCCCAGGATGGCCATCAGGATAACCACCGAGAGGAATGTTAGCAGCACGACCTTCTCCACGGACCCGAAACCCTCGTTGGAACTGGGGGTTATGGGAACACAAAACACAAAGATGTGTGGGAGCATCAGAGACACTGGAAAGGCAATTCATTTGCTCCCCCTCAGTCTTCAGGAAGATCACTTCATCATCAATCAGCAGTAGCAGCATGTATTATGTAGCTAAACTTACCAAGATGGGCTCTCCCAGATGCCTGGAAAATCCTCCTGAGAGGAGGATTGGGAAGGTAAATCACTAGCCTTGACTGCATGGTTTTTTGTTTTGGTTTTAGTTTTTGTTCAGAGATTCACTTTGTCTAGTACTCAGGTGTTTACTTGATTGATTTCTGTTTTGAACCCCTGACTCACCTTCAGTGCAAACACACAAGGCCCTCACTTGTTTTATTCACCGGTGTGTGCTAAATACATCATCCTCACTTAATCAGATGAAGGAGGTGGTGTGTGATCAACAAATGGTAGTAACTGGAACCAAAGGCTACATGACACCAAGAGCTGTGCTTTTCTGTATCCCATTCTAGCTTGGGCAAAAGCTGTGGTTTGTAGGTGGGCTGTCTAGGGAAGAAAGGCCATGCTCAAAAGGAAGATGTTCAAATGACCTCAGGTTCTGTGACACATACAGGACAAGAGGCTGAGTCATCTTCTACTTCATATCTGTGGTTGCTTCACTGACACCTTATGCCACTTTGACACTCATGTTCTTTTCAATCTCAGCTCAAGGTCAGACTCTACAAACTCTATTTTGCCAGTATGAGCTCAGGACTTTGTCTTATTAATTTGAAGTGAGTACTCCCTCTCAATGAAAGCACAATATTTGCAGGTTGCTCAGAAGCTTCGGGAAATAGTTATGCTCATGACATCACAAAAACTTCTTTTAAAGAAGTTTGAAAAGGCTTTTAAACTGTGGGACATAAATGGTCCAATATTATAATATATAATATATATATATATGTTAGTTACCACTAATATATATATTAGTTACCACTCATTCCCTGGAATATTGCTATCAAGAAGAGACATATATGTATATTTATATATTCTAATGTATGTATATTCCAAATATATATATATATATGTAATTACATATGTATATGTATGTTAGCACAGAAAACTGGGGGAACAAAGTTATTGGAACACTTTAGTGTTTGGTTTGAGAGAGGACATTCTCTCCTTAACAGCACATGGAACACAGGGTCTCTCCTCCTGCTTTACTTCTTGAATTAAGAGATTAAAATGGGCATTGAACCCTGGTGGCCAGAGTTGTCTCACTTTTGTATTCTACCCTGTTTACAACTTTCTTCTCTAGGCAAGTACGGAAGAAAGCATGCCAATAGGAATAAGGAACAATAATCCTTAGCAAGTCAGAGAATGGGTAAGCCTCTCCACTCTGCTGACAAGCCGTTCTTTACATTTGACTGAAATGTTTAGAACTAGAGTTCATATAAAAAGGATTGTCCCTCAACTGAGGGATGGATACAGAAATCGAGGTACATTTATACAATGATATACTACTCAGCAATTAAAAACAAAGAAATCATGAAATTTGCTGGCAAATGGTGGGAACCAGAAAAAATCATCCTGAGTGAGGTATCCCAGAAAGACACACATGATATATGCTTCGTATAAGTGGATATTAGAAACATAATATAGGGTAAACATACTAATAATCTGTACACTTAAAGAAGCTAATCAAGAGGGAAGACCCTTGGAAAGATGCTCAATCCTCATTCAGAAAGGCAAATGGAATGGACATCAGAAGAGGGAGAAAATGGGGAACAGAACAGGAGCCTATCACAGAGGGACTCTGAAAGACTCTACCTTGCAGGGTACCAAAGCAGATCCTGAGACTCATAGCCAAACTTTGGGGGGAGTGCAGTGAATCTTATGAAAGAAGGGGGAGATAGAAAGACCTGAAGAGGACAGGAGCTGCACAAGAAGAGCAACAGAACCAAAATAATCTGGGCCCAGAGGTCTTTTGTGAGACTGATACTCCAAACACAGACGATACATGGAGATAACCTAGAACCCCTGCTCAGATGTAGCCCATGGCAGCTCAGTGTCCAAGAGGATTCCCCAGTATTAGGAACAGAGACCATCTCTGACATGAACTCATGGGCTGGCTCTTTGATCACCTCCCCCTGAGTGGGGAGCAGCCTTACCAGTCCACAAGAAGACAATGAAGCCAGTCCTGATGAGACCTGATAGACTAGGGTCAGATGGAAGAGGAGGAGGACCTCCCCTATCATTGGACTGATGGAGGGGCATGGGAGGAGAAGAGGGAAGAGGGCTGGGATTGGGAAGGGAAGAGGGAGGGGGTTACAGCTAGACACAAAGTGAATAAACTATAATTAATAAAAAAAATAAATTTTGAAAAGAAATAAAATATAAAACAATTCACCAAAAAAGAACTGTTCATCTAAATTATGCTTCTATACTAATGTTTCATCTGTCAAGAATGCAAACACTGAATATGGAAGATTTAATTCAATAAAAACACAGTGATTTATCCACCAAATAAAAACACAATGATTTTTAAACTACTTTTATCTGAAGCAACATTAACTGAGGTAAAGCCTAGCAAAGAAGGAAATAGTGGTTGGTTTTCCTTGTACTCTTCTGAGACGGCACCATCTCTCCAGTGCTGATGCCCATTCTTTATAAAAAGTGGGTTCCTTAGTAAGGGGAACAGGGACTATTTCTGACATGGACTCAATGTCTGGCTCTTTGACTTTCCCCTACCCCCTGAGGGAGGAGCAGCCCTGCTAAGCCAAAGACGAGGGCCTTGCAGCCAGTCCTGAAGATACCTGATAAGCTAGGGTCAGATGGAAGGGAAGGAGGACCTCCCCTATCAGTGGACTTGGAAAGGAGCAGGGAGGAGATGAGGGAGGAAGGGAGGGATTGGGAGGGAATGAGGGAAGGGGCTACGACTGGAATACAAAGTAAATAACCTGTGATTAATATAAAAAAATAAAAACTGTTTTAAAAAAATAAAATAAAATGTGCTTTCAGAGTTTGGCTGCTTCTTGTCATTGTTGTCTGCTTATGTCAACCCTTAGGTAATGCACAGTAGCCCAACAGACATTTCTCATCTTCATTGTGTTGACTGTCTGAAATAACTTCTACAGTTATTTGTAAATCCCTCTCACAGATCGTCTTTGGTTACACTTTCACTGCAATTTCCAGTGCTCCTGAAGTATCTAGCCTAGAGTAAACGTGGTATGTGGGCATATGCAGTGCATAACAAGTACTTGCTAGTTTGCTGACTGAGGGACAGGTATAATATTCCACAAGGGCAGGCATATTCTCCACTGTATTTCAAAGCATTCTTTGAAAACATACAGGAGATTTTTACCTAAAGGGGAGAAGATCCAGGGATAAGATTTTTTTTTAAAGGAATTTTTTTTAACTGACAAAAGATACAGTCCACTTGAAATAAGAGTAGATTAACATATTTACTCATTCAACTCTAAGGTAGGCTGAGTGTGGCTCCAAGAAAAATAAAGCAAAGAGCAGACAGATACATCTGCAAATATGTAGTGTTAGTTCCATAAAGGGTAGGGAGATCAGGACTGTCTGTAGTTTAGAAGGTTGCCATCTTCGTGTTCGGAGAGAAATGTGCATATCTGCACACACGTATGTGGAGGCGTGCTCTCCGATGTGGGCATAGGTGGAAGCCAGAGATGTTTCTCCATGATTTTGTTTGTTTCCTTTTATTGTTTGTTTTGTTTAGTTCCGTGCTTTGATACAGAGTCTAACGTTGAGTTAGAGCGTGTCTCTTGGATTACATTGACTGGCTAGGGTACCAAAGCCATCCACCTTCGCCCCCAGTCATAGACACCAACACCATTCCCAACACACACACACACACACACACACACACACACACACACACACACACACAC